CGTCCGCTCTCCTTGCACTCTCCCCTGAGCCCCCTCCCCCACCCCACCTCCAGCCGGAGCAGGGGGAGGGGGCCGGATGACGTCATGGAACTAGGTGGAGGATTTAGCTCAGAAACCCACCGGGGAGCAGCCCTGGGGCCGACGTTCTATTTAAGCAGACGTTGTAAGACTCTAGGCTCCACTTTCCCAAATCCAGCATGGCAGCTTTCCACCTAACCAAGATCTAAGCAGGGTTGGCGTTCTGAAAGAAATCAGTGTGTAACGTCTAGGCCAAGGATCCTGGAGAATGGGCCTGCAGGGATGGACTGGCAAGGCTTTCAAAAGCATGGCTGGGGCCAAAATGCCATTAAAATTCTTCCAGCAAGGTCTCAGGTAGTGGGACCGCTTTGAGGCTGAACTATGCCTCGTGGCACAGCTAATATTATTATTAACTATAAAAACAATGCAAACAGTTATGGAATGCTACTGCCTTCCAGAGACCCATCAAACCCTGGAAGTAGAAGTCATTCCAACACCCCACCCCCATTTTACAGATGACAAACTAAAGTTCCAAGAGGTTAAGGAGCTCTGAGGCAGGATTTAAACCCTTATCTCTTTGTCTTCGGGCCCAAGCACCCTCTTTCTGAGACTGCATTGTCTCTCGGTTTTCAAGTAGGTGCATTCCAAAGGTGATGGCACCCAGTGTCCAACAGCCTCCAGGCTCTCCCATCTCTTCAATTTGTCCCAGTCTGCCTATGGCCCAAGACATAATGGGAGAAGGGGACAATCCGTCAGAAAGCAAAGGAAGGACTGTTTGCTCTTCAAGAGAGAGGTTAACAAATAACAGAGTTAATAGCTAACATTCCTAGCTAGTTATGAATGGAGATGGAGGGGACAGGGTACACTTAAAATGACAGCGGGAAGAAAGGTGACTTTGTGGATTACAGTGTGCCAAGAGCTGTACTGTGCTAGTGGTATACTTTTTTTTTTTTTAAACAAAGTTGGCAACAAGGCAAGATCTAATACTATTATCCAACATTGATGTGCCAGGCACTGCTCTAAGTACTCTGCAAGACTGAGTAGTGGTGGGAAGATTTCAATTATTCAGACAACAGCTGGAGTTTAATTTTGCTATAAGTCTAGCATCAGCAAAAGTCCCGATTTGCCTCATTGACTCTTTCGTCTCCAGAGTAAGACCTGGCGTCTGACTGCCTGGGTTTGTGTCCTTGCTCCATTAGCTTGTAGAGGGGCAAGTTCTGTAGATTCGGAGCAGGCACCTTACCCCCGTGAGACCCTGTAGTCTGGGGGCAGCAGTGTTGCTGTGAAGATCCCAAGAGAGAGCGCAGGGGAAGGACCAGCACATTGCCCAAAGAAGCTCTTGCCAAGCAAAAGCCGCTCGTTCTGTTATTATTGTTACCTCTAGAAGCGGAAGGGGCATTTTGACCCACAGTAAATAAATTGAGATGCTGTGGAAGTTACAACAACCCAGAGCGAAAGTGACCGTTTTGTCTCAGAGGTGATAAGGGTAAAGGACGGCTGTGCTTGACGCAGAGTTGAGCCAAGCTAATTTCAGAGAGTTTGGAAAAAGTCTGACCCACTGGGATTCTAGACTAAATCCTTAAATAAGAATTTCTGTATAAAGGATAGGAAGGATGGAAGATACTCTGAAATAAATTGTTAACAATTCATCAGTTCCATTGGGAAGAAAAAGGAAAAGAGTTATGAAAACCATCCCGACTGTGGCGGGGAGCTCTGGGTCAGGCCCATGCTTTCAGGAGACTGTACACATTCGTGCAAAAGCAGGGTGTGACCATGCAAGCGAGTGTAAATGCACAAGAGCAACACAGACCTGATGCTAGAGGCCAAGCAGAATATGAGACAATGAAGCAAAAGAGAACATGGTAAGAATAGCTCATTAGGACTCTGACCCCCGAAAGAATGATCCGTTCCAGATAGAGTAAACTTAACCAAAAAAAAAAAAAAAAAAAAAAAAAGGACGAACAGATGCTAAAGGTGGGTACCAGACCCCAGGGTAGAGCAATAGAGAATTAACTGGCCTTGGAAAACACACCCATTAGAATCCAAGTTGCTGGACAAGCCTACAGATGTCTTTCCTGGGCCGCTTTGACAAATCTAGAAAACAGAGTGGGATTCAGCCAATGAGAAACAAATGGACAAATGCCCCAGTTTTCAAAAAATTAGAAAAGGAGACATCCCAATCCCTGGCAGGTTTCTGAAGGAAATTATTAACCAAATATTTGCCCTTTGCACACAGATAATAGTGATTTACTCTGAGTTCTCTTATTTCTTTTCTGACAGAGAGAGTAGGATGGTCATTTAGAAAAATGCTGTTTGGTCACAGCACAATCTTGTGTTTTAATGTAGAGAACACAGGATTGAGGTCTGGAGACGTGGAGACTAGTCTGGTTCCACCATTAGTAAGTTGAGTGACCACAGGCAAGTTTCTAAACCCTTCTGGGCCTCGTTTATGAAAGTTGGGGCAGGTTCTTTTAAGGCGCTCTCATTTTTAATTTCCATGATTCCACACTGTAATGAAAAGGAGACTGAGAGACAGTTCAATCCAGAGGATACACTCTCCCCACCTCATGAGGGCTGTGTATTGTACAGTGTCTGCTTTGTTAGACTGACCAAGGAGAGGGCTCGTTCCCTGTTTTTGCCCTTCATATACATGCATTAATGATTTAGTCCACAAATGATAGGACGGCTATGGCGAGGGGTCATAGAATGAAGGAACTAGATGGAGGAGGAGACTTGGGCTAGAAACCAGATGAAACTGATCGACATAAATGTAAAGCCCTATGTCTACGTTATTAAAAAAAAAATACCTACACAAGTTCACAATAGGGAAGAGCAGGCTGAGAAGTACATAATGGGCGGATGGTCCGGGTGTCTGTGATGACCACCCATTCAAGCTGAAGCGATCCAGCTGTCATCTAGCTGCTAACAAAAGAGCTGGTGCCACTGTGATCATATTTAACAATAAAGATAATGATAATGGGGGACATGTGTTGTGTACTTCCATGGGCTTGCCATGTTATCTCATTTCTGGGGGAATGACAGTATGAGAGGATCCCAGCCCCAGGATGTGCTCCTGCCTTGGCCACCTATGCCATCAGATCCTGGGGCAACGCCGGAGAACTTAAGAGAATGGGAGACTAACCAGCAGTAGTCTTTGCAGAACAGGGCAGCCAGGACAGGGAAATCTGAAAATCAGGTCCCACAGGAGCAACTGAGAGAGCTGACCATGTTCAACCCAGAGGAGGCACAACCAAAATGGCAGTGGGAGAGGGAGGAGAGAGAAAGGGGCCGTTAGGACTTAGGCTCTGCCTGCCTGCCATCAAGTCTGTGTACTTCCATGTGTACGTTGTATGATTTGGGGAAAATTGTTTAACCAATCGTGTGTCTCAGTTTCCCCATTACGAAGAGGAGATAGTCACAGTAACTGACTTCCAAGATTATTAGGAAGGTACTAAATGAGCTGTGTCCAAAATCTTACCAGGCAGGTGGCAATGCTTGATACTTGTGAACAGTGATAGTGACGATTGTCATCATGTTGCCGGTGGGCTGTCCCCATGGAGGAGGAAGGAGGGTCATCCTGTCTGGCTTCAGAAGGGAAACGAGGACCAATAGGTAGAAGCAGGAAGAAAGAGAATCTGTTTAACGTAAAGAGACAAGCTTCCAAACAATCAGAACTTCCCCGTGAAGAAATGAGTTTCCAGTCATGAGAGAAACTCACTCCACTCCATTTTGTAGTCGGGGGACAAGCCATGGGGATGATAAGGTACCATAAATTAAGAGCTTTGAAGAAATCAGGAGCTGAGCAACTATGAATGGCAACAAGCCCTTCCTTCCTGTTCCTCGTCTGTTGAGAAATCTCTGGACGTTTGGGTGTGTAGGTAACCCCAAAGACAGTGGATTTTTGTTGCATGCTTTTCATTTTTCCTGCCTCTCAAGAACTAAGATAAAGACCTTGGGCTTTACGGTCAAAGTCCCTAACTTTGAGTTCTTGCTCTTTTATGTGTCAGCTAGACAACGTTGAGTAACTTAACTCCCCTCTCTGGGTGGGTTGTTCCCTTGTGTAAATGAAGAAAACTACCTACAGTTTTGCAGAACCATGATCAGAACTAATTCATTTCTTGCTGCGTTGGTAAAGAGTATGCCAAAGGTAGGCATATTTGAGACAGGCACATTCAGGCCTGCTGGCCTTTTGTTACCTGGCGGAGGATGCAGGTGGTGGAGAGAGGATAAGGAAACTGCAAGGTCAGCAGGCATTAGGGCCAAAATTGCACTTAAAATGCAGATACGAGAGACAGGCGAATTCTGAAAGCCTTCCAAATCTTTTTTCTTTGTCATTGAAGTATGCTTGACACACAATATTACATTCATTTTAGGGGCACAATATCGTGATTTAGCAACTATATAGCTTATGCTGGGCTCACCCCAAGTGTAGCTCCCATCTGTCACCATACAACGCTATGACAATACCTTTGACTCTGTTCCCTGTGCTGTATCTGAAAGCCTTCCAAGTCTTCCCATGTTGTCCTCATCACAGGAGGGATAGGATAAGACGGGGTAAAGTGAAACTTATCTGTCCTTTGTTCAGAATCTACTGTGTGTTAGGTTCGGGGCTCAGCGTCCCACCATATCGTCACATTGGTTAGTCAGGGACAGAATTGATGATAATGAGGTTGGACCAGAGAACATGTTTGCAGTTGTCTCGAGAACCATCCCTGAGCCCTTATAGATCTCTAGAGGATCTCTGAAGCCTTGTACTACCGTCCTCAAAGCTGAGCAGGATTGTATCTCCCTAACCCACTGCAGGGGCCAAGGCATTAGGCCTCCGTCACTTTGCCCCAGGTTGAGCATCTGACAGAGGCAGGCTGCTGGCCGAGGGCCCATCACACACCTTTCACGAGAACTCCTGCCACACACACATACAGCGTCTTGGGTTGGGATACACTGAGAACACTAACCAATGATCTTTTCTCTCTGCCCCTCAGTGTGACGGGGTTGGGGTGGACCTGAGCAACATCTTTCTTGAAGGCATTGCCATTCTCAACATTCCCAGCATGTACGGGGGCACCAATCTCTGGGGAGAAACCAAGAAGAACCGGGCTGTGATCCGGGAAAGCAGAAAAGTCGTCACTGACCCCAAGGAACTGAAATTCTGCGTGCAAGGTAAGCAGGGCATGGGGAAAATTGCTCTCGGTTGGCGCCCTAGTGAGAAGGGGACATTCAGATGGGTGTGTTAGCAATCTGTATCAGGGCCTACAGCAGGCTCTAGAACGTCCTACAGCCCAACAAGGACCCATTGCTCTGGGAATATGCCATTTCATCATCCCTTTTGTTGCAACATTTACTGTCCAAGAGAGAGGAGAAAATTAACAATAAGGGAGCCCTAAATGACAATCAGCAGTCAGACTGAACTCTGAGGTCAGGAGTCAAACGCTGCTCTCAAGGTCACCAGTGCCCTTCCGTAACTAAATCCAACAGTCACTTCTCACACTTGATCTTCCTTCTCTCAGCAGCGGCGTTTCATCTAGTCCCTGTTCCTGCAGATACTAGGATTCCACAGGTTCCTGTCTTCCTGCTCCTGCACTGGTTACCCCTTTCTAGTCTCTTTCACTGATTCCCCATCTCTGTCATCTTTTAGTGCTGGAGGCCCCCAGGCAAGGGCCTCAATTCTCTTTTCTGTCTGTCCTCACTCTTGATGACCTCATCCAGGCGTGAGACTTTATTTAAATACCACGTGAGCGTCAGTGACTCAGCATGCCCAAAACCGAACTCCTGATGTCCCTCCCACAGACCTTCCCCACCCATAGCCTTCTCCATTTCAGTTGATGTTAACTCCAGCCTGCCCGTTGCTCAAGCCAAAACACTTGGCACCATCCTTGACTCCTTTTTATCTCACACCTCCCATCCCACCCATCAGAAAATCTGCTAGCTCTACTTTTAAAAACATCCAGGATCCAGTCACTTCTCACCCCTGCATTTCTGCCACCTTGATCTGAGCCACCTTCCTCTGTCCCTTGGATTCCTACAAATCATCCTAACTGGTTTCCTTGCTTCTATCCCTGCACTGTAGAGTCTGTCCTCAGCACTGCATCGGAGAAACCCTGTGAAAATATGTCAGATTATGCTACTCTCTGGCTCAAAATCCTACAGTGGGTGGGTTGGAGTAAAAGCCAAAGATCCGTATGTGGCCCAGAGTGCCCTAGATGGTTTGGCCTCAGGTTACCTTAGTGACTTCATCTTCTGTTACTCCCCCCTCATCCCGCCTCTGTTACCATGTCTCCTCTAACAGAGCAGGTTGCTTCTAGGAACTGACTATACTTTCTGACTGGAACAACTGGGAAGTATGCCTTAGAGGCCATCAGCTGGACCTCCCCCTCTCAATCCACACGTTCACCCCTACACCTTACCAGCCATTTCCATCAATGAACCAAGTGGGAACTCAATCAGAGTACCCGGGCAGCTCTGATTCCTCCATGGTTTGGATGAATGGCCCCCATTGATCCTCAGGGGTCTTAACAGACTGGTGAGCTGAGGGAGGAAAGCCATGTATGAGTATGAGGGTATTGGCAAAGATACCATGTCAAGAGGCAGGAGACTGGGTTCAGGTCCAAGTACAGGCTCTAACCTATTTTTGGCATCTCACTTCTCTTTGTTGTAAAACCAGGATCTCGTGTAAACTTTTGATAGCTGAATGAATGGGGTTGAGCCAGATCATTGGTTCTTACACCAGTCCTGCTTATTGAAAATGAAGATTCCTAGGCCCTACCCCAGATCAACCTAATAATCACTGGGTTGGTTCCTAAATTTGTAATGAGGTCCCCCAGACAACTCTGATAGGCTGCCAGGTTTGAGAACCACTAACACAGAAAAAGTATGTGTGGATCTGGATCTCTGTTCTTTGATGTCCCTGGCTGAAAAGCGTGAAGACTGGATGTGATCCTACCACAGAAGGAGACAAAGCTTGGCTGACCATCAAAGGGAGGGGTTACTTGCTCATTTCAGACCCATCTGTTGGACAGTCAGATCGTTCTATTCCAAGGCAAGATCATCAAGAGGTGTCATCTCCACACCTCCAGCCTTTAAGAGAGGACTCAGGAGTTTTTATTTCTCTGTTGCCCTCTTAAGTCCCCTTTGTTTCACACAGTAAAGTTTTCAATTTGTGTAAATTATTAAACTGATTAATGTGTTCCTCCTTCCTTCCTTGGCAAGGGAAGTTGTGGTTGCTAGCAGAGGGTGGGGGAAGCTTTGGAGGTTATAGAAACTTTGTACAAATTTTCCCACCCTGGTGCTCCTACCCCAACCCCCACCCTGACATTCAGTTCCAGCAGAACAGTATCAGGGTAGAATCCTTCCCCTACCCCTGCCCAGGGTATGGGAAAGCTCTTGCTAAAGACATGTTCTGGTTAGGACTCAAGGACTTATCTTCTCCTTACATATCGGCCCATGTATCTTCCCCTTCCAGCAAGAGTAATGTATCTGCTGATCACTCCTACCCATCACCTACAGGAACTCTCTTCCCCAAATCCCCCTTTCCCACCCCCAGAATGTGCTTTCAGTGCTAAAAACGAAGCTACTTCCTGTTCTTTAGATGAGGACATGAGCTGATCAGAGCAGAGGCCCAAGAGGGGCCTGGCTTCTGGGCTTTACAGAGACAGCAGCATTGAGTTTTCTGAAAGGGACATGATCTCATTTAAGTTGAGATGTTAATGGGGGAAAGCTAAAGAGACAACCTATTTTAGTAGAAGAGCATTGGCCTGGGAGTCAGGAGACCTGGGTTCCAGTGATACTCTGCTTCTCGCTAGTGTATGATGTTGGGCAAGTCTTTCACCCTGCTGGGTTTCAGTTTTCATTGTCTGTAAAATATGCAAGTGTGACAATCACACAGGCTTCTATAGATCATAGCTTCCTTGCAGATCCACAAAATTAAGGCATGGCCAGTTTTCCGTCTAGGTGGGCTCCTTGAGCTAAATCATATCACATGCTCCCTCTGTCTTTCAGTGTGTTTTGTTTCACGGTTTTTAGGCCAGCTGCTGAGAAGGCAGGCATCTCTTCTCAACAGGCTTCATGTGCTGGGATTCTTTACTCCTTGGCGGTTTCATTGGGATTGGAAGTGAGGAAGAAGTCAGGAGGGAATAGTGGGAGGGAAGCGATTTCTCTCAGGAGGTTTAAGAGGAAATGACACTAGAAGGGGTTACTGTCAAGCCTCCTCATCACAGATCAGTCTTTCTACTTAGAAGAGCAATCTAAGAAATAAGGTCATTCAAAATGAGCATGGAGTGAGATCTATACAAACACTGCCTAGTTAGAATGCAAGAGTGCTGGGAAAAGCACCACACTTGCAACTGAATGACTTGGGTTTACATTTAGGCTTTACACCTTCCAGATTTATAAACTCGACTTCCTGAGAGTCTCAGCTTCCTCAACTGTAAAATGGGCATAATAATATCTAACTTATGAAGATGATGGATGTGAAAGTGCCTGGAACATAGCATAAGCTCAAACTTAAAAAAAATATATTTCCTCTCACCTTTTATCCTAGTTTATTCTGGAGCGTACCAGTTGGATTTCTGATTTTGAAGTTCTTAACTTTAGCATTGCCATCTACCTGTACTAACAATAAAAAGGAGCAGAGCTCCTGCAGAAGTCCAGCCCCTGCCTTTGTCCTAGCACATTAAACTTACACCATCAATTGTCCCGACATGTCCTTTCCTAGACCTTTTGTGTTCCAAGCATGGAGGCTGGGGGTTAGTCATCTTTGTATCCCCAGTGCCTGATAGGTAATTAGTCAAAACAAGGTTGTTGGATAACGAGCAGTACATGGGCATTGGTTCTTGTTTTTTTTTAAATGATACTAGTAAGAATAGCGATAGATAGTCTCTTATATTTGCATTTCATTTTGGCTTACAAATAATTTTGCCTATGTTAGTTTCATGTGACCTAACCAGAAACCCAGGAGCAAGATTATACCCATTCCTTTCCACATCCCTACTTCATAGCTGGGGAAAAACAGAGGCCCAGAGAAGGGGGCCCTCTTACACAGTTTACATCCAGTGGTAGCATCAGAACCAAGTCTGTGATTCCTAGCTAGCCCCTAGTGTCTAGTGTCCAACCAGAAAATTAATTTGAAAATCCTACTGCATGCATTGTACAAGCCAGACACTCAGAAAACAGGAAATGTTTATATACCAGGCTAAGGAAAGGCTCCAAATAGACTTGCGGAAGTTCTACTCCTCCTTTAAGGTCTAGGTCAAGGGCTATCTCCTTTCTGGAGCCTCTGGTGTCACCTCTGGGAGTAAATCCAGCCCTTGCCTTACTAGAGCACTTGACTTTGCTGTCTTGACAGTACACTGATTATGGTTTGGCCCTGTTGCCTGGGTATGTGTATCCTTGTCACTACTTTCTTCTGCTAGGACCTGGAAAATGGGGAGCATGGGGTCCTCAACTGTGTATCCCCCTCAAAGCTTAACATCCTTCCCACCTGGCTCATGTTCTACAGAAATGTTTTTGGGAGGGAATGAGAAGGGGAGAGAATCTTGCCTTTGGTCTGCCAGCACAGTGGGCAGTAGATTCTGGAGCTGGACAGGAACAGGCATTCAGTGGAAAACATTGAAAGAAAAAAAAAATGTATTTTAAAGAGTTATATGTGTTTATGAGGCTGAGATTTTCAATCTCGTGATACCATTAGATTCGACTGATAAGTAAAACGTGCCAGCTATCTGCAAATAAGTAATTCAAATCTATCTTGAGGACTTAGAATCAATATAGGATAAGGGGCGAAACACTGAGCCAGAAGTTGAAAGACCCAGGCCTTCCCACCACCAGCCATGTGACGTTGGTTAAGTCATTAAACCTCCCCAAGCCTCCATTTCAACCCATACGAAATGGAAACAATTATGTTCTCTCTCACTGAGCATTGTTTTGATGGTTAAATGAGATCATCCATGTAGAGCATTTAGTAGAGTGGGTGGAACATGGGGAGTGTTTAATCAATAGTAATCTGAATTATTATTAAGTGATAAATGGAGAGTGATAGTGTATGATTAGTGTATGATAAGAAAGGGGCCAGATTTTTTTTTTTTTTTTTTAGATTTTATTTTTTTTAGAGAGAGAGAACACAAATGGGGGAGAGGAGCAGAGAGAGAGGGAAAAGTAGTCTTCCTGCT